AGATGAGAATTGCAACTCATGCTTTTTTTTGCTTTCCATTTGCTTGGTAAATCTTCCTCCATCCCTTTATTTTGAGCCTTTGTGTATCCTTGCATGTGAGATGGGTTTCCTGGATACAGCACACTGATGGGTTTTGGATTTTTATGCAATTTGCCAGTCTGTGTCTTTTGATTGGTGCATTTAGTCCATTTACATTTAGGGTTAATATTGTTATGTGTGAATTTGATACTGCCATTTTGATGCTAAGTGGCTGTTTTGCCTGTTAGTTGTTGTAGATTCTTCATTATGTTGATGCTCTTTAGCATTCAGTGTGATTTTGGAATGGCTGGTACTGGTTGATCCTTTCTATGTGTAGTGCCTCTTTTAGGAGCTCTTGTAAAGCAGGCCTGGTGGTGACAAAATCTCTGAGTACTTGCTTGTTCGCAAAGGATTTTATTTTTCCTTCACTTCTGAAGCTCAGTTTGGCTGGATATGAAATTCTGGGTTGAAAGTTCTTTTCTTTAAGAATGTTGAATATTGGCCCCCACTCTCTTCTGGCTTGTAGTGTTTCTGCCGAGAGATCTGCTGTGAGTCTGATGGGCTTCCCTTTGTGGGTGACCCGACCTTTCTCTCTGGCTGCCCTTAGTATTCTCTCCTTTATTTCAACCCTATTGAATCTGACGATTATGTGCCTTGGGGTTGCTCTTCTTGCGGAATATCTTTGTGGTGTTCTCTGAATTTCCTGCAATTGAGTGTTGGCCTGTCTTGCTAGGTGGGGGAAATTTTCCTGGATGATGTCCTGAAGAGTATTTTCCAGCTTGGATTCATTCTCTTCGTCCCCTTCTGGTACACCTATCAAACGTAGGTTAGGTCTTTTCACATAGTCCCACATTTCTTGGAGACTTTGTTCATTCCTTTTTGCGTTTTTTTCTCTAATCTTGGTTTCTCGTTTTATTTCATTGAGTTGGTCTTCGACTTCAGATATTCTTTCTTCTGCTTGGTCAATTCGGCTATTGAAACTTGTGCATGCTTCGCGAAGTTCTCGTATTGTGTTTTTCAGCTCCTTTAATTCATTCATATTCCTCTCTAAGTTATCCATTCTTGTTATCATTTCCTCAAATCTTTTTTCAAATCTTTTCTCAAGGTTCTTAGTTTCTTTGCATTGATTTAATACATGATCTTTTAGCTCACCAAAGTTTCTCATTATCCATCTTCTGAAGTCTAATTCCGTCATTTCGTCGCAGTCATTCTCCGTCCAGCTTTGTTCCCTTGCTGGTGAGGAGTTTTGGTCCTTTCTAGGAGGTGAGGTGTTCTGGTTTCGGGTGTTTTCCTCCTTTTTGTGCTGGTTTCTTCCCATCTTTGTGGATTTGTCCGCTGGTCGTCTGCGTAGTTGCTGACTTTTCGATTGGGTCTCTGAGTGGACACCCTGAATGTTGATGATGAAGTATTTCTGTTGCTTGGTTTTCCTTCTACCAGTCTAGCCCCTTCACTGTACGACTGCTGAGGTTTGCTCCAGACCCTGCTTGTCTGGGGTGCACCTCTAGCAGCTGTGGCACAGCGAGAGATGCTACCAGTTTCTTTTTCTGCTATCTTTGTCCCAGGATGGTGCCTGCCTAATGTCAGTCTTTTGGATATAGAGGGGTCAGGGAGCTGCTTGAGGAGACAGTTTGTACTTTATAGGGGTTTAATTGCTGAGCTGTGAGCTGTGTTGTTCATTCAGGGCTGTTAGGCTGCTATGTTTGATTCTGCTGCAACAGAGCTCATTAAAAAAACCCTTTTTTTTCTCAAATGCTCTGTGTTGAGGGGTTTGGGCTTTATTTTTGGATGTCCGTTGAGGTCCTGCCCAGCTAGGATGCAGACTAGCCACTGTTTGCCTGCTGAGGCTCCGCCCTGCTGTTGTGAGGCTCGCCCTGGCTCCGCTGTTCTGCTGTTCTCTGCCACGCCCTGCGGCGGAGTCTCTCTGTTGTAGCGTGTTGCCTTGGCAACGGCTGGCTGCGTCAGCAGTGGGCATGTATCTCAGTAGGGATGGGTTGCCTCGGCAACGGCTGGCTGCGTCAGCAGTGGGCGTGTATCTCAGTAGGGACGGGTTGCCTCGGCAACGGCTGGCTGCGTCAGCAGTGGGCGTGTATCTCAGTAGGGACCGGTTGCCTCGGCAACGGCTGGCTGCGTCAGCAATGGGCGTGTATCTCAGTTGGGGTGGGTTGCCTTGGTAATGGTGGCTGCCCCTTCCCCTCAGAGCGTCTCGGGCCGTCTGCACGGGGCTTGTTTGAAATCGCGGTTTTGTTCGTCCCACTGGGCCAATCCTAACGCTCTGTTCCTGCAATCCCCTGGGCTGGCCCACTGTCCAAGTCTAGCTCAGTCACAAGTCCAGCCCTCTCACGTCTCCAGTTGCTGGTTCAACGGGGCACCGGACAAGTGTGCCCTGTGGGGAGCGCTGGGTAGGGCCGGCCGCCGCCACCCCGGCTGCCGGCTTCGCCAGGCGGAATATCTCCCTGGCGTCCCGCGTCTCCACTTCACTTGGGAATTTCCCCGTTCCGTGGGCAACAAAGATCAGTCTGGAAATGCAGCTCAGACTCACCTCTCCGCAGACACAGCGAGAACTCCAATCCTGGGTTGTCTCACAGCGCCATCTTGCATTTTTGTTATTCTTAATAACACATTGCACATGTAAAATAACATACAGATGTGCAGCTTGTAAAATAAAATTCAAAAAATTATATCTCAGCACACAGCTTAAGATATGAAGTATTTTTGGTACTTATGAGGTTCACACTTTTCATCTTTCCAAATGTGTTATCTTTCCTCCACTTTCTCCTCCACCTAAATGAAACTCATTCTAAATTTTGCATAAATCATTCCTTTTTTTAAACAACTTTGCCATATACATATATGATTTCTAAGTAATTCATTATTCAGTTGGTTTTTGACTAACAAATAAATGCAGATATACTATACACATTCTTCTAGAACTTGTTTTTTAATCATTTGATTTGTGAGAAACATCTGAGATGATAAGTACACCTATAGTTCAGTAACTCTCCTTCATATTTAACATTCCGTTTTATGACTGCCCCCTTTAGCCATGTCATTTGCTATAGTTTCACTTTTCTGCACTTGGTGAAATTGCTTTGCACATTTTTGTGTTTCTGGCAACAAGAACAATACTTCTTCTCAGGATGCATTTTTCAAATTAAGAGTTCAATCCATTAGTGGATCATTAAATACACTTAATAGGTGGTGAAAATATTATTTAATTAAATGAATAAAATTCAGTGGAAGAGAGGGGAAGGGAAGACAGTGGAAAGAAGAGGAGGGGGAGGAAAAAGAAAAAAATGTAAAAATCAGATTACATTGCAAAAAGTAAGCAAAATTAATGTTTTAGGAGACTTTTATATTATATAACTGTGTTTTATCTTATTAATTGTTTTCTGTTTTTTATCACTGAAAAAGTTTGAAAGCTATGACTTGAGTTTATATAGTTTGGAGTGGGATTCCTGGCTTTCAGTAATGCCAAGTTAGTTAGATAATGCAAGTAACTTTGCTACATCGTGGAATCGATTTACTTCCACACGGGGCGTGTCTCAGAGCTTGCTTGGTCTAGATCCTCAACAACCATCTTGCAGTTCTAATAATAAAGTGCTCTAATAACAATAACTATTTTTTACTGACTTCCAGTAATTTTCAAGAGTGAGTTCACCTCTTTAGGTCTGTCTTTTCATCTGCAGTAAGTGAAGTCTGCAATATTAGACTTTCTAAAGTCCTTGTGTAAAATGTTTTGATTACAAAACTCTTGTAAAGAATCGCATTGGTCATCCTCAAGAAACAGCGGGCGTGACTACTGGAGAGAAGGGCCGCTGTGGTTTCAGTGTTGTGACCAGCGCATGGCAATCCTTTGATTTGCCTGGATTAAACGAATGATTATGTGCTTTTCATTTGGTAAATATTTAACATATAAACATGGTAGTTTCCCTGACAGTGGGAAAGGTGCCAGCTGAGCTTATCATCACCCTTGATCTGATTCAGTAACAAAGGTTTGTTAAGACTTGCCAGTTATATATACATTGGCTACTTACTGAATGCAGAATTCACTAAACATAAGCACCTTGTAGTTTCTCGTTACCATCGAGCAATTCAAGTGACTTAAATAATACTGATTTTCCACCAATTGCCAGATTGAAGATTTGGTCTGAATACAGATGAGTGGATAAATCTAGAAATACATTTATGAATGTGCTTTTCAGAGGAATTCTGATGGTGGAGTGAGGATAACGCTCATCCCCTTGCTCCAGTGCCTGGCTGAGCTGCGCTAAGTGTGTTGCCCGTGATGCACGTGGAACTGCTGTGCCTGTCTCCTGAGCATCCTCATGTCCAGAACTCTGTGATCTAGTGATGGGCTCGCTCCTTGTTCCGCACCTTCAAAGTGATTCACTCAGCTATATCCTAAAAGTGCAAAGTCACCCAGCTCTTTTTAAAAACACTTGAGACCTGAATGGCCTAATGGAATGCTGGCTTTATTGTGAGATTATGTTTATTGAGCTTTCTCCTGTGCCATTACAAATACACAACCAACCAGTGAATCAAGAGACCATCCATGAATGAGGGTCAGAGCCTTGTCAGGAGCTGGCCATTTCTGGAAGATGTGAGGGGGGCAACGTTGCATTGGCCAGGGCTAGTTTCTGTCCAGATGGCATCTTTGCCTCAGCGTAATCCAAAATGACACGTCCAATTTCCCTTTCTCAACTCTTGAGTTTTTCCAGGGAGAAAATGTGGTTTTGCCCTCCTTTTAGAAAATTGATGCTTCTGTGCTTTTGCTTTGCTAGTGTGTCTGAAAACATATGGATGCTTCTGGCCAAAAAACTAAAAAAAAAAAAGTATTTTCTGATTCATCTGGCTAAAACATGAATTTTCCAAATTCAGTAAATAAACCCTTTTATGAGACACTTTTGTCTACCATAGATTCCATTTGACCACAGAGGAGATCATCTCCCCTTCTCCCAGGACACACAGTCATGCTGTCATCACAATTCCCAAGGTTCCAGAATGCTACACACTTCCTGACCTTTGTTTCTGATACATTCTTTGAGAGGACATCTCCACCTACCCCGTCACCTGGATTGGATCACCAGCCTCTCCCAAGATGGGCCTGGCTTCCTCCTTGCTGGGGAAAGGGTAAGGAGCTCCCCCAAATAAAGCTTCTGGGGAGAGTGGCCAGGGGCCGGGGCAGGAGAGGCTCTGGTGCCACAGGGCTGCCCGCAGAGGCTGAGGTCCCTGCCAGTGCACAGGGAGGAGAGATGAGATCAGATTCCAACCGAGTCAGTCTCCAGAAGTGTCAGACTGGGTGCGTTTATGTAGAGGTGCAACTCAGGAATTACCGAGGAAAATGTACAGGGCCAGTTTAACCTCTTCTGAGAGACCTCTAACCCTGCTCATCACCACTCCTTGCTGAAAACGGGCCTCTCCAGGGAGATCCCAGAGGGAGAGCAGGAATTCTCCTCCCCTTGGAGGAAAAGTGCTTCCTCCACCCTTAATGTATCAACTGAAAAAAATTCAAAATAGAAGGAAGCTGGGGTGTGACAAAGAAAGGAAGCCCTTTTGTGCTCTGTGTCCACTGGCGTTTTCCCCAGTGGAAGTCCAGGGAAAAGCGCCCTAAGGTCCACAGAGTGGTTTGAACCAAAGTTCTAAAGCGAATTCAGGTACATTAATTCTAAAAGAAACGTAAAGAAAAGAAAACCAGGAAATGCATTAGACTCAGGTTTTAACAAATGAGCCCTCTTGGAAGCGGAGACCCACTGAAAATCTTCTGGTATAACCTCTTCTAGAACCTTCCACGCCTCTGTGTTTGGCTGATTTTTCTCAGTGTTCCCAGTCTCCAGTAAACCTGATTATACAGGCAGTTAGTTACTCTGTGCTCTAATAATGGGATTCTAAGAAGGGAAGAACAGCATAGGAACCAATTTGTAAAATCAGAAAGACCACGGCTCACTGTGGGTTAGGAACAGAGGGAGCCTCTCCACTGAAAACTGGCTCCTTAAAAGCCGACATCAGCTACAAACTGCATAGGAATTTATCATGAATTTCCTTTGCATTCTGAAGCAGAATGCTTAAAATTAGGCTTAAAGCCAGAACCCACTGTGGGAAATAGTACCCGTTTTCCACAGCGTGACGAGTTTATGTAGGCAGCACATGTATTTTAGAGTAATTGGAGTGTGATTTAGTGCAAAGCACTACACCGAGTGCTTGCTTCGCACAGGTAGCCTTTAGCCATGGCCCCCTGTGGCCCCCAGGGTGGGAATGGTGGTTACCGGAGTGTGCTGTCACCTCTGGACCATCACGAGCACATGGAAAGTCAGAAGACAACCCTGGGCTTGTCTTCACATTTCCCAGGCTGTCACTTGCTGCTTCCTTGGCAGCTGACCTTAGATGTACACTGTGTCACTCAACCATCCACTTCTCTTCCCCTGTGACCACGCAGGTGTTCGATTCCCTGTCCCCCTTTTCCTCCCAGCCCTAGGACCAAGCTTCTGAAGAACTGCACATGGGAAATACCAACCAATTTAACTTCTTCAGAGACAACCTTGAACCCTGCTCACAACCATGGCTAGCTACAAAAGGGGTCATCTGCCAGGGATGATCCCAGAGGAAGAGTGGGAATTCACCCTCCCCTTAGTGTGAAGTGCTTTCTCTGCCCTTTATTTATGAACTGAGAAAAATTCTAACAAACCTACTGTGAAATAAAGATGGTCTTAACCCATTTATGCCTAGTGTTCCATTATTGGAACACTAAGCTTGTGAGAGTTATTTATATCCTACTGCTCAAAACCATTGCCAAACTTTTATTTTTCACACAAAAAAAGTTTGCAACCTTTGGTATAAACGGGTTAATTCCAAAGCCTAGACAACCCAAGACATCTCAGTCCACAGCGAGCCCAGCCTCCAGCTGCAGGTGTTGGCTTCCACACAGCGCAGGACCAGGCAGTTCTGTGCTGAGTCCGTCTCTGTGGCCACCAGCCACCCGGTGTTGGGGCTGGCCCTCAGCCCATCTGCACAGGGCAAACACGCTGGTTGGTGGAAGGAACCAGAGGCAACCTGGGCTCTGATTTCCACCCTGACCTGGGGAGTAGAGCTGGCCAGGGAACAGATGCCGGGGCTGCTGGTGGCCTCAGCTCTTTGGCATGGCGGCAGCAGCTGTGGCAACCTGAGAGTGTGGACTTACCCTGAGGACATAGAAACAGACCACCAGAGCTGCACCCACACCCAGAGCTAGAGCCACGCACCTGCGGTGTGTTTGTTCCAACAGAGATGCAGAGGTGATTCCATGGAGGAAAACAATAATATTTCAACCAATGGTGCCGCAACAATTGGATACCTTATGCAAAAATGAACTTTTATCTGCATCTCATATTATGTAAAAATGGAACCAAAATAGATCGTAAACATAATGCAGAATATAAACGTAGAAATTATGGTAGAAATCATTGGAAAAAATCTGTGTGACCTTGAGTTAGGCAAAGATATTTTTAATTTGACAGCAAAAGTATAATCCATAAAATAAAAGAAACATACATTAGACCTGCTCAAAATGAAGAATACATGCTACTCAGAGGACACGACTGTTAGCAGAATAAAAAATATAAGCCCCAGATCTGGAGAAAACATTTGTAAACCATATATCTGAAAAAAAATGGCTTGTACTTCATATGTAAAAAGACTCAAAAGTCAGTAATAAGAAAACAAAGTCGCAATTTAAAATCGACAAAATATTTGAATAGAAGATGAGTAAAGAAGATAGATGGATGAAAATCAAACACATTAAATACAGCCGATGCCAACAGCCCTGGTACCTGCCCGTTAGACAGCTGACTTCAGAAAGGCTGGCCCCACTGCCATGGGTGAGCACACGGGGAAGGGAATAGGAAACGCCATGTCGATGTATCTAGCAGCCTGAGCCTGGTCATGAAGGTGGGAGGGGAGGAGACCCCTTCTCTACCTTGTCCCAGCTCCCCCAGGGCGGCATCTCCTTTGAGAAGCAGGACTGCTTTTATGAGTAAGAAAAATATCCATTCTTCATTTTCAAAATAATGTTTCAGATACGTGCCCAAGTGTGTCACATTGCAACAGCTGCCCGGCTGTGGGGATAGTCTTAGGGAGCAGAGGGGATGGAGAGGCCTGCCCCATTACCAGCTGCCAGGAGGGCCGAGCTTGCATCAGGGAGCAGAGGGGATGGAGGGGCCTGCCCCATTACCAGCTGCCAGGAGGACCGAGCTTGCATCAGGGAGCAGAGGGAACGGAGGGGCCTGCCCCGTCACCAGCTGCCAGGAGGACCGAGCTTGCATCAGGGAGCAGAGGGGATGGAGGGGCCTGCCCCGTCACCAGCTGCCCAGGAGGGCTGAGCAGCTTCTCCCTCCAGTGCAGGAGAACACATTAAGATTTACGGTTCATCCAAAAGTAGCTTAGAAAGAAACCATATGTGCTTACCATCCCTTGCAGAAGTTGCACACAAGTTATTTAAAAATCTCATTTTCTTAAACTGTCTTTATCACCAAAAAAAGAGCCTCTGGGACCCACTTCACGTGCTGATTGCAGAGGGCACAGCAAGCCAGGTCTCAGGCGAAGCATTTACCCCACTCCTTCGCCCCCACAGCAAGGCGGGGAGTCTGTGCTTCACAAATGAGGAATCTGAGGGGCAGAGACCTGAGGTGTCCTGTCCAGGACGCAAGAGTGAACCCAGGGACAAAGCTGGCCTGCTCTGCTGGGGCCAGCGCCTTTCCACACCCATCTGTTTCTATATTTAAACCGGTGAAAGGAGGCCTGGAAAGGACATTAGCCCATTTGGAGGCGGACTTGACACACTCTCATTTGTTATTGAAGGCTAGAAAAAGATGGAAAGAGAAACGGGCTGTTGAGGAGAAACCGGCTCTCTGTTTGCTCTGCCTGTCTCTTCTCACAAAGCTGTCATCCTTATGCCTTGCATGGATTTGGGAATTTTAACTTGTCTATTAAAAACATAATTCTGGCCCCGTATATATACTTAATATTATCATGTATCCCCTTCAGAATAGTCTGTGGCAGACGTCTGTGCCTTTTCATGCAGGACCAGGAATAGACTCCCTAATCAATGTCTTGCGTCTTTCCCATCACAAAATGCAGTTAAATTAGTGTCTCCTCATCCTAATTTTATTTCTGCATTTAGGTAAAGCATCTTCACTTCCAAGCTGAGCTTTTCCAAGAGATTTGTTTCCGTGCAGAATTAAAAAAAAATATTGTATAATACCATTTCTGATCATAAGTAACTCAGAACTTTCCTTTAAAACGATTGCACAGTTTTTATAAATTCACTTAGATACATGCTTAGGGAAAATCCAGAGTTTGAAGGGAGTTTTAAAAGATCCCTTATTCTGTAATTCTTTTTATATGACATTTTTAGAACAGGCAATTCCACGGAGACGTCGTGCAGATTGGCGGTGGCCAGGCTCCGGTGGAGGGAGGTGGCAGGCAATGGAGAGTGGCTGCTGGCAGGCGTGGGGCTTCTCAGAAGAAAAATGTTCTAAAATTACCTTGTGGCTATGGTTCCACACACTGAGACTATACTAAAACCACTGGTATGTATGGTTTATTAGTTATATCTCAACAAAGCTATTAAAATAGTCAGTCACCAAAAATGTGCCAGTGCATGTAATTACAATATGTTTAGATCTACTGAACTTTACGTAATGAAATTTAATAAGTAATGTCTATTTAATACACTTCCATGGGGATTTGAGCTTTATATGAATTAAAGTTACTCTTCTGAATTTTTATTTTCAGTTCTGATCAGTGCTTCACAAGGTAGGCATTCCAGCTGTTAAACTTGCCGCCGTTCGGGCGCAGTGGCTCAGGCCTATAATCGCAGCACTTCGGGAGGCCAAGGCGGTCAGATCACCTGAGGCCGGGAGTTTAAGACCAGCCTGAGTAACACGGCAAAACCCCGTCCTTACTAAAAATACAAAACATAATAATAATAATTAGCTGGGTGTGGTGACACCTGCTCCCAAGTGTCAGCCACTTGGGAAACTGAGGCAGGAGAATCACTTGAATCCAGAAGGTAGACGTTTCAGTGAGCCCAGATCACACCGAAGCACTTCAGGCTGGACAACAGCAAGGAAACCCTGTCTGAAACAAGCAACCACACACCAAGAAACTTACCATGCAGCCTTGGGCAAAGCGACTTTCCAAAGCCTGCTGTTCTGTATTTTCAAATACTATAACCACCATCTCCCCCATCACACACATACACCAGTGTACACGCACAGGCACATGCAAACAACACACGATTCTTTTTTGCAAAGACCTCTTAGAAAGAAAAGAAGGGATCAATACTATTTTTTCATGCATATGTATGCTACGAGAACCAAGCGGTAAAATAAAGCAACAAATAATGTATATTGTAGCTTCTTAAGAATCTTCAGCTTTCAAAGCCCCAAAGTCTCTCCAGGGTTCCCGGAACCCCGGTGACTCCTCCTCAAGAGATGGGGTCCTGGGAGCACCCAGATCATAGCGGGAGGAGTGAAGACGAGGAGACCTCAGTCCGAGCCAGAAGAATTTCCGGAATTAATGCTTCTGTCAGGGTTAAGTGTGGATTATCCACCACACAGGAGCCAGGCTTCGTTAGGAGAAATGGTGGGTTTAAGTGATTCTTTTAAGATGAAAATTGATTGGGATTGGGAAAAATCTCTGATGTGATCATGCAGGGTTGGTGGACAGAGCCGAGAGTTTTGAAGTGAGTCTTCACAGGAACGTTCCTGTTTGGTAAATGAACTTTCTGCTCAGATTAGCTACCACGTTGTCTTGATAAGAGAGAAGTTTGCCCAGATGAACAACAGTTTGTCTTGATAACTGATTCACAGAAATGCCTTGAAGCAAATATGAGAGTTTCATCTAGAATGTCACTTCATGGGCGAGTAAAATTACCTGGAAAACCAACACATGTGTCACAAGACGCTGATCCAAGAGTTCTGGCTGGTTCACAGAGACAGTGAGACCAAGCCGAGGCATGATTCCGGTTAGACTCATGACAAGAAGCCACGAGGGATGAACCCGGCATAGTAGGGACAGGGACATTATAGACACCATTGCTGGGAGGGGGCAGGTGTCTGTTGACAGTACAGAACTGTACACAGGCAACACGCTAAGCAAATGCCCAGGAAAACGGGGGATAAAAGCACCCAGATTTGAGGATGACACTCTGCCGCGCCAGTCATCTGGCAGACTGGCAGGGGGCTTGGCGGAAACGTGACTTCTCACAGTTTTCTCCTTCTTCTGAAATCAGTGGTTTTCATCTGTCTCACTTGAGTTCTCAGAAGCATCATCTGCTCTGGCACATTCCTGACAATCTTTGCTGTAAAGTTTTCTGATGGGGCAGGGGCCAGGTGTTGCGTCTGGAGACGTAACTCTCAGGTTAATCCTGGACTGGTGGTCAAAAGCAAAGTATAGTGTCCCTTTCACACGACTCGAGGCCATGTTTCTTTCTCTTCATCTTTTCTTAAAATACAGCATTTCCAGGCCGTAGGTCTAGTGGAAGCTGCTTCCGAGCCATGGAGGAAAGCCAGCCTGTGACTGTTCAGCCCAAGCCTGACCATATACTGCATGAACCTTTGGGAGTACATTTTCTATGCCTGCCTGAAGTAAGATAAAGTTGAACAATTGGGGGTAAATACTTTGCATAATGGTGAGCCAGTGATAGTTCCAGACAGTTTATAGGGCTGCCAGGGAGTGTGGACTCGTGAGACAAGTGTGAACTCTTCACCAAGGCAGCCCACCGTACCAGATACTTTGGATGGCTTGAGCTCTGCAGGACCACTGGATGGCTCGAGGTTCTGAGCAGGCAGAAGGCTTCTTTCAGAGCTCTTCAGTGACAACCCCAGCAAAACTAGAACAATGAGTTCATCCTTTACGTTGGGAGCCAGCACAATTATGCTTATTTATATATTTGCTTTCTCTACTCTGCAGTCCATAAATCTCTGATCAGTAAAACTCCAAGTAAATTGTGAGAAAAATTAAACAATGACCAGGACACAGCCAAAACTTGTTATACAGGGTGGTCACGTGAAATTCAAAAAGGAGCTGAGGCTCTGTATTTAGGGGCTTGGGCTCCTGTGTGCTTCCCATTTTTCAGTTTCATCGCTGCTGTGCTGTTGACCTGCAGACACGCTCCAGGGCCATGTCCAGCATGCATGACAGTGTCCTCCCCGGTACCCACTGACTGCAGTGGCTGAGCTTTGCTGTCTGGGTAAATTACATAAAATCGTGTGCAAGGCTCCATTGGAGGTCCTCTGGCACCACCACGTGGCTGGGCTGAGAGTCCCCAGCCTGCTTGGCTGAGTTCCTCACCAGATGCTTTCACACTTCTCTGATTCTGGAGTAAAATTTCTGAGGTGTGTCGTCATTTGTAATCGGTTAGAATATTTGTCACAGTCCTCCTAGTTTGAGATTTCCTCAAGTCCTAGTTGAGTTTGTATTTACTCTGCATACAATAAATTTGAGTTTTTGGCTTTTCTGTGTCTTTCCACAACTTGGGAATGCAATCAGAAATCTTCCACCCACTACCACACGGAACAATTCCATCACTCATCAACCCACTCCCAAACCCTTGGAAGCCCTGCACCCTTTTCTGTTCTACATTTTTGCCTTCTCCAGGATGCTATATATATGGAAACACACAATATGCAGCCTTTGGGGGCTGCCTCTTTCACTAACCAAATGCATTAAGATTCACCCACGTCGTGTGAGTCAGCTGCTCACCCCTGTCACTGTTGCATAGTCTTACATTGTGTGAACACACCGCAGTCTGTTTCTCCACTCATGTGTTGAAGGACAAACTTGGTTGTTTCCAGTATGAGGTGTTGTGAATAAAACTGTCATAAACATCTGAAAATTGCTTTTTTTATGGACATAGTTTTCCATTCACTTAGGTAAACGTCTAGGACAGGACTTCCTGGGCCATGAGGCAAGCATACGTTTATCTTTATAAGAAATGAGCAATCTGCCACCCAGGCGTGTGGACGTCTAAGTGGAATAATACTTTGGCATTCCCTCCAGCAGTGGGAATTCTTGTGGCTCCACATCCGTATTAGCATCTGGTGTTGTCAGTTTTATTTTAAGTTTTAATTTCAGCCGTATTTGAGAATGATAGAGAGAGAGAAAAAAAATTTTGGATATAAGTATTTTATCAAATATGAAATTTGCAAGTAATAGCTCCAAGTCTGTGGCTTGTCTTTTCACCATCTTTACAGTGTGCTTTGCAAAGCAAACACTTTACATTTTGTTAAAGTCAAATTTAAATTTTTTTTCTTTCATTGATCTTGCTTTTGGTATCGTATCTTGAAACTCACTACCAAAACTAAAGCCATGCAGCTTTTCTGCTACATTTTCTTCTAGAAGTTGTATAGTTTTGCATTTTACATCCAAATCTATAATCCAATATGAATTAATGTTTGTGTATGGAAAAGGTATGTACTGGCGGGATTTGGGGCATTTGGATTTCAATTGTTCCAACACAATTAACTGAAAAGATTCTCTTTCTTTCCTACTGTGACTTGTACCTTTGCCAAAAATCACTTGTCTATATATGTCTGAGCAAATGTCTTTATTCTTACCTTTGTTCCACTGATTGTCCATCCAATACCACACTGCATTGTTTACTGTTGCTTTGCAGCGTCTTAAAATCAGGTTATATGAGTACTATATCTCTGTTATTTTGTTCGTTTGTAAGAAGTTTTTTGTTTTCTTTTTCTTGCGGAATTTTTGTGATCATTGTAGTTTCTTCGGTTTTCTATGTGAATTTTGATTCAGCTTGTTTGCAAAATAGACTTGCTGGAATTTTACGGAGATTGCATTGCTCAAATCAGGGAAAATGGGAGAATGGACGTCTTTGAAATACTGAGTCTCTAATCCACGAAACGGTCTATTTCTCAATCTACTTAGATACTTTTTCTCTTTCATCCCTGTTTTGTGGTTTTGAGCATACACATGCTGCACCTGTTGTGTTAGATTTATGCCTAAATGCTGCGTTTGTTTTAGTGCAATTTAGTGCTTTTTAAATAAATTGTATTATGTATATTTGAGGTTTACAACGTGCTATGATGCAGTTTAGGTATTAAAATGGTTACAAAAGTGAAGCAGAGAAACGTATCTATTATCTCACATACCTTTTGTGACATAGGCAGTTAAAATCTACATATTTAACAAACACGTTTAACATGGTGCAGTTTTATTAACGTTGGCCCTCATGCTGTACGGCCGATCTCTGGAACTGTTGTCCCGCATACAAACCTTCTGTGATATTTTTATTCCTTTGACCTACATCCTCCCATGTCCTCTGGCAACCCCCACCTGTAGAAACCCTGTCACACGCTGTGTCTCTGTGTATTTGAGGGTTTTTAAAAAATTATCTCACCTATAAGTGAGATCATTCAATTGTTTTCTTTCTGTGTCTGGGTTATTTCACATAGAATAATGTCCTCCAGGCCCATCCATGTTGTGCAAATGACATTTTTAAAAATTCAAATTCCAAATGTTCATTATTGCAGGTAGACACGTTTTTAATTTTCATGTAAGTCATTTCCTTTCGAGCATAGAGATGTTTGTGGTGTGACTGACTCTGGTGTTTCCTGTTTTCTAGTAGAAGCACTTAGTTCTCTGCTTTCCTCAAAGCACTGCTTAGCTGCATACTGAGAATATCGATACATTGTATTTTCATCTTTATTTCATTCAAAATATTTTTAGTTTTGTGCAAGACTTCAGATTTGATCCATCTTTCCTTTAGAAATGTATCGTTTAAGCGGGTGGATCACGAGGTCAAAAGATCGAGACCATCCTGGTCAACATGGTGAAACCCCGTCTCTACTAAAAATACAAAAAATTAGCTGGGCACGTGGTGCCTGTAATCCCAGCTACTCAGGAGGCTGAGGCAGGAGAATTGCCTGAACCCAGGAGGCGGAGGTTACGGTGAGCCGAGATCGCGCCATTGCACTCCAGCCTGGGTAACAAGAGCGAAACTCCGTCTCAAAAAAAAAAAAAAAAAAGAAATGTATTGTTTATTTGCCATATATTCGGGGATTTTCCAGATTTATTTTTGTTTATTTTCAGTTAATTTCGTTATTCGTTATGGTCTCAGAGCATACTTTGCTTGTTTTCTACTCTTTTACCATGTTAGAGGTTTACTCTAGGGCACAGAATATCAGCTATCTTGGTAAATATTTCAATTTAAAGCTATATCTTGCTGCTGTTAGGAGGAATTTTCTATAAATGTCAATAATAGTTAGTTAATAGCATTTATGAAGTAAAAATAAGACAAAGGATTAGTGATTTTCCATTTGGCAAAGGTTTTCTAAAGACGACACAAAAAATTATACATAAAAATTTTTTTAAATTAAAATTATAATATTTTATTCTTCAATAGATATTAAAAATTATTTCACAGACTGAAAGGAAGTATTTGCAAAATATCTGACAAAGAGCTTTTGTTCTGAATATATAAATAATTTACAATGCAATGGTAACAAACAACTCAGTGTACTCGTGGCCTGAGCTGGACAAATATGTTAATGAACATTTCAACAATAACAACAAGAACAAGAAAAGATTTGCAAATGGCAAGCGAGCAGCAGAAATGATGCTCAACAGCATTAGTTTTCAGAGAAAAGCAGGTTCAAACCACAAGGGCAACACCACTGCACGCCTGCGAGAATGTCTAATATTTAAAACTATGACCAGTGTAAATGCTGGTGAGAATGGATAGCAATTTGAACTTTTGTGGGTTTTTTTTTTTTTTTTTGAGATGGAGTCTCATTCTGTCACCCAGGCTGGAGTGCAGTGGCACGATCTCGGCTCACTGCAACTTCCACCTCCCAGGTTCAAGCGATTCTCCTGCCTCAGCCTCCTGAGTAGCTAGGACTACAGGCACCCGCCACCATGCCCACCTAATTTTGTATTTTTAGTAGAGACGGGGTTTCACCATGTTGGTCAGGCCGGTCTCGAACTCCTGACCTTGTGATCTGCCCATCTCTGCCTCCCAAAGTGCTGGGATTACATGCATGAGTCACCTTGCCGCAGCGATTTTAACTCTTAGACGCTCCAACTGGGAATGTAAAACAGCGTGGTCAACTCATAAAACATGAAACCGTCACCTGCCATGTGACTCCGATATTCTACTTCTAGAATTAATACATTTCAGACCCAAATTTTTGGATACAAATTCTCATTTCAGTTTTTATTTTTAATAACCAAAAACTGAAGATAATCTAAACGTCCATTAGCAGGTAAATGGGTGGATAAATAGTGCTGTGCTCACGCAACAGGCAATGACTTGGCCACAAAAAAAAAAAAAAAAAAAAAAAAAAAAAAAAAAAAACAAGCTCCGTAGGCGCGCGATGGGTGGGTGATGCTTCCAGAATTGTCAGGTGAAATTGAAGCAGCAGCCAGATTAAAACGAAGAGAGAGCATGTACTGTAAGACTCCATTGACATGAAATTCTGGAAAATGAAAACTATGTTCCAGGGGCAGAACTCAACCTGACGGTTGCCTGAGGACAGGAGTGGAGGGAGAAATGGACACCAAGGAATCTACGGAAGGTTTTGGCGATGGAAATGCGCGTTTTCATGGGAAATCAATGTCGCCGTACCAATATTTATCAATACATCCAATCATACCTCATTAAACATAAGATGACATAGAGACGTTTCAAGGCAGAAAAGCACGGATCAATTTCCTGCCATAGAATGACATCCGAAATAAACAGGAAAAGAAGTTTCTCCAGCTGGAAGAAAATTCCAGATGATCCTACAGGTAAGCAGAGATCATCAGGGAAGAATGAAGAACTCTAGAAACCATAAAAATAACAAAAATTAACTGTTTAAAACAACAGCTATCAAGATGTAGTGCAGGTTTTATGGGACATGCGTAAATAAAATTTTGTATTATGTTAGTGCTGGAGTTAAGTATTGGAAGTTTCTTGTATTTTCAGGGAAATATTAAAAGTACTAATTTAAACACTAGCTACTCAAAGATGCCTAGGGTAATTGCTAAGAGAATAATAAAATAATGAACTAAGAGAATAAAATAATGTACTAAATGTACTAAAATGAGCAAGAAAAATCAATGCATGAAAATATTTGATTTATCTGAAAGAAATTAAGAAAAATGGAACAAAGAAACAAAAGCAGTCAATACAAATAGAATCACCTAGCAGGATGGGAGACGTACTTAAACACAATTATTTTAGTAATTAAGTGTATTAAACTGGATAATTAGAAGACAAAGATGATGTGTGTTAAAAACCAAGAACCCAACAGTATGAAACTTGCAAGAGGCGCATTTTAGATAAAAGAATACAGACAGGCTGGACATAAATGTCTGTACCCTGGGAGTCAGGGACGCATTTTTTAAGAGGCAGCTGAGGTAGCTATAGCGCTACGAGACAGTTGATTTCAGTTAAGGCAAAAGTAGGACTAAAGATAAAAGCTACATTTCATAAAAACAGGAAGATACAAAACTCATACCGTGTGTGTGCCTGATAACATTGCTAAACGTGTATGGAGAAAAGACCTGACAAAGCAGAGGAAGAGAAATATCCGAAGCATACTTGAAGATTTTAACACCTATTTCTGAAGCGAAAGAGTAAACAATCCGAAAAAAGTGAAAAATAGCCTCTGAGGGACACAGCTAAGTTTTCCTCATTGGTGTAGGCAGAACACTGTGTGCCCAACAACTGCAGCGTGAACTCTTTATCAAGGGAACAAGGAACATTTATCAAAACACACTCGGCCCTAAAGCGCATCTCAACAAATCAAACACACGAAGTTACCTTTGTATGTTTGCACGATCTCGGCTCACCGCAACCTCCGCCTCCTGGGCTCAGGCAATTCTCCTGCCTCAGCCTC